TCTCCCAACAGATCGTATCTTCTAGAGCTGATTCTGATGACTAACCAACAGCCAAATCAGCACCCCAAATCTTCTTAGATTATGTCCAAAAGATTTCCTCTTGATATGTTCCAACAAGATCTCATCTTATCCTTTTGTTATGAAACAACTTTACATAGCCAATTCAAATTCGAATTTCAAACATTTGAATTCAAACTTTCAAACACTTAAATTTTAAATTCAAATTCAAATTCTAAATTCAAATTCAAATTTCAAAATTCAAAATTCAAATTTCAAATTTCAAAAGTCAAATTCAAAATTCAAATTTCAAAATTCAAATTTCAAATTTCAAATTTCAAATTTCAAATTCAAATTTCAAAATTCGAATATCAAATTTCAAATTCAAAATTCAAAATTTAAACATTTGATAATTAATTTAACTAATTATATTAATTAGTAATGTCTTGGACTATCCAAGCCTATTACTTAGATCCATGCGCCCTCCACCCTATCTGTGGAGTTCCAAACTACTTCTTGGGCTAATAACAATTGTTAGGCCCAATACATTTAATGCTAGAGCATCTAAACAATTAGGTGTTAGTGTGTGACCCATTAGGTCCAATATAGCCACTGACATAAATGCACTTGGGCCCAATAAGCCCACAACCCATCTAATGACAACACAGAGCACTAGCAATGCTTTGTTGCCCCAGAACTAGTTAGATTAATGACTTGATCATCCTATTACACATATTTGGTTGCCGTATATATTTCCTTTTGTCTCGGTTACCTTCCCATAAAACCTAGGGTAAGGAAACGTATCAACCCCTGCGGTTTAGGGTAAGCTTTATTCGAAATAGGGAATCTTCAATTTACAGACTCTAAAGGCAGATCATCTCATGATCTCTTTTACTATGCATAGATTCCCGAGTCCTTGTAAATGTCATCCCGATTTCTCCGGTTTACAAATAACCTAATCTCTCACAGAGATTTGACGAATTCCTTCAGCTTATCACCCTAGCCCTGTGTTCTTTCAGGACAAGCCCAACAGTATACCTATGAGTCTCCATGTTTCAGGCAGACGAGGTGCACAATCAAAGCATGCCTTCTAGAACACAGTCTAGGTAATAACTTCTGGTCTTAGGAAAGACATACCCAAATATAAAGAGACTACTCTAATGATACTCTCTGCGAGAGTTCCTCATAGAGTCTCTTTGTGGGTCTGTTCAGTGCGAGTTATACCCTTATAGGTCCACCCACGACTTTAGCTAAGACATCTCCATATCTGTAGCATATAAGGTCTATACCTTGTATCCATATACAAGTAGATAAGTCGTGCTAGTCTTACCCGAGATTACTGACCCCATTCTCAATATCTCTAGACTATGAACATAAAATTAGGAATAAACATCCGGTATTCTTGAATCCTCATGATTATGATCTCATCACAGATACTCAAGAGATACCTATTTTATTCCACGGGGTTTATCAAGTTATTCATAATATATTAACATTAATATCGAGACAGAATTAGGAAACAAGATAAAGAGTGCTTTTATTTATTTGCGACAATATTAAAAAGGTCTACATCTATTTCCTTATTTAATCATAAGATTGTCTCTAGGACACCCAAATACTAACAACCCATACGTACCAACTGGTGCTTTCATTTCAAGTTGAATCTCAAGGTGAGAATACAAGAAGTGGCTGATGAGCTTCGATCAGAATTTCAACGGAAGTAGCTTCAACTTATGCTGATCTAAACCAGAATTTAGATCAATTAACAGAGTTTGTTTTCGCTATTGATGTGCAATTACAAGAGTTCATGACCTAATCTCAGCAGCATACCAAGACCCCTCAACAACCCAAACCTATCTCAATCAGTCCTAACATCAATCTCCAAAACCAAACCAAAACACTTCATCCTTACAATAACAAAAACTAGTGCAGAGCATGGCCACCATGGATGCTCATCTCCAAGAAGCTTCATCATTTGGTGCAGAAACGGAGCAAAGATTAGTGCATAGTATTTCAAGAATGGATAATCAGAATCAAGAACCCATTGTTGTCTCATCCTCTACCTCTTCCATTTTTCAAGATCCATCTTGTGGTGCCACCATAGAAAACAGAGCAAGCAAGAAGCTTTTCAGGTGCAAAAAGATCTCACCCTTAGTGTAGTCTCCACCATTTCATTCTCTCTTAAGCATACATTTTTCTTGCCACACAAAACAAGAAGTCAATATGTGCAGCCACCAACACTTTGTTTTATTCACCAGAGCATGCAAATATTATTAATACAAGTTTTTTTTGAGTCCTCTGTCTCAAAATGTTAAAGGTTTCATGTGTGAACGAAGTCTAAATTTCTTCATCTTGATGAGCCTCGATGGTAGCGTAAATGATGACCTCTTGGTGAGTTTCTTCACCTTTTGGGCAGATTTTTTGCAAACAGTTGATGATCACTATGATTTAAGATGCTTTACTTGGGATCTAGGAGGACCCTCATTTTTTAGGACAAGGTCATTCATCAACTACCTTGCCTCCACCTTATGAGTGTGGGTGATCTCAAGGTTTCTCCCCACTTAGACCTTGAGGACAAGGTCCCTTTTGAAGGGGTGAGTGGTGTTGCGAGAAGGGTGTCTATAGAGAAAGGCAAAATTCAAGTAGGCTAGAGAAAGATGTGAACCGGTTTGGTCAAAAGATTACTGTGGTATTTAAATAGGTTTAGTAAATGTAGTTGTTGTACACGTGTTGTTAGCATGAGAATAGTTAGTTTACATATTGTTAGTCGATTGGTTAGTTTATTAGGGATTGATTACGTGTAAGTAAAGGAAGTGTGTAGAGAAGATTCTATAAAGACCTAAATGTATATTCATTGTTGGCATATGAATAATGAAAATCGAGTTTCTCTCTTGTTTGTTAAGCCTTTTTATCTGTTCTTGATACCCATACGTATCAATATATATATATATATATATATATATATATATATATATATATATGTATATAGCTTTAATATTTCTAAAGTAAATGCAGATAAGTTATTTACATTCACTCTCAAAATGACTTTGTTTTGGGTTGAAAGATTAAAAAATTATAAAGATAAAGATTTTTATAACCTTGTAACAAATTATAATTACAAAACACATTGATTTCTGCCCTAAAATGACATTGTTTTGAGCTCAACACAAATAACTTATCTGCATTCGGTGCAGAAAAAATTAATATATATATATATATATATATATATATATATATATATATATATATATATATATACACACATATATAATGAGTTCAATTTTTTTGCAGCCGCTTTGCAACAGTAGCCGCTTTACGTGCAACAATGACAAATTTTTCATATATATAGGTTACAACATTTAATATGGGGAATCATAACCATACAAAAGATAAAATCATTAAATGTAGGAATCATAACTATACACATGTCTGCATGTACAACAATATATATATATGATGTGAGATCTTTTGATTCCGTAATAAGATTAAGAAATTTTACTTCTCATTTCAGTCATTGATTTCGGTTCTTTTGATGATTATAATTTATTGATTTATTACAATTATTTAGTTTTAAAATTTAAATAAATTATTAGCATTAGATAGATGAAAATTAACAATTGAGATGAAAATAAGATTTTTTAATTTTATACCGGAGCAAAAAAGCATTCCCCTACTAGTATTACCCTAAATATAATGCTGGTAAAACATATAAATGAAATTTTGATAAATTTTGATAAGTTATCTCATGTCATAGAGATAAATTTGTGGGCTCCACCACTTGAAAAATAAAAAGAAAAGAAAAGAAAAGGTGACAAAGTTATCGAAAGGTGTGTAGGAGAGAAAGTTATCACATGTAGCATAAGAGTAGTTTTTTCCATATATATATATATAGCTTTAATATTTCTAAAGTAAATGCAGATAAGTTATCTATATTCACTCCCAAAACGACTTTGTTTTGGGCTGAAAGACTAAAAATTATAAAGATAAAGATTTTTATAACCTTGTAACAAATTATAATTACAAAACACATTAATTTCTGCTCCAAAATGACATTCTTTTGGGCTCAACGTAAATAACTTATTTGCATTCACTGCAGAAAAAATTAATATATATATATATATATATATATATATATATATATATATATATATATATATATATAACGAGTTCAATTTTTCTGCAGCCGCTTTGCAACAGTGGCCGCTTTACGTGCAACAATGACAAATTTTCCATATATATAGGTTAAAGCATTTAATATGGAAAATCATAACCATACACTTGTCACTGCTGCATGTACAACAATATATATATATATATATATATATATATATATATATATATATATATATATGATGTGAGATTTTTGATTCCGTAATGAGATTAAGAAATTTTATTTCTCATTTCAGTCATTGATTTTGGTTCTTTTGATGATTATAATTTATTGAGTTATTCCAATTATTTAGTTATTAATTTTAAATAAATTATTAGCATTAGATAGATGAAAATTAACAATTGAGATGAAAATAAGATTTTTTTAATTTTATACCGGAGCAAAAAAGCATTCCCCTACTAGTATTACCCTAAATATAATGCTGGTAAAACATATAAATGAATTTTTGATAAATTTATACATAAGGGGAGTAACTAAAAATATTTATTTCTATTTAACTTAAATATATCATCATTTTAATTTATTAAAATAAAATGAAAAGTACATTTTTTGTTATTTATTTTTAATATGTTTATTTTAAATCAGGTTTTTCATAAATATAATATGGGACACGAGGATGGGAGAACAACAAGATACATTAATAAAATATGTACCACGAGGATCGCAAAAATTAATAATCTATGAACCTCCAGTCCACTTTACCGCTGACCCAAGTAGACGAAATGCATTGTTCTTTCTATCTATTTATGTTCTTCGTGATGGTAAAGCAATCATCTTAGCATAGGTTTAGTTGTTTTGAGTTTTTCACATTGTGTTCATCCCCATCAACTCAACCATGATTGATAACCAAGGCTACATTGTGCTCTTCCTCTTGTGGTTCATATCCACGATTTTGATTAGATCCATCTTCAAAAAATCCGTGTCTCTTAAACTACCCCCTGGTCCTCCAATATCATTGCCACTCCTTGGCCATGCTCCTTATCTTCGATCACTCCTTCACCAAGCACTTTACAAGCTTTCCACACGATATGGACCCTTGATTCATATCATGATTGGTTCTAAACATGTCATAGTTGCATCATCAGCCGAAATGGCAAAGCAAATCCTCAAGACTTATGAGGAATCATTTTGCAATCGCCCTATAATGATTGCAAGTGAGAACTTGACTTATGGTGCTGCTGATTACTTCTTCATTCCTTATGGAACATACTGGAGGTTCTTGAAGAAGCTTTGTATGACAGAGCTTCTAAGTGGGAAAACTCTTGAGCATTTTGTTAACATTCGTCAGGATGAAATTGAGGCTTTTTTGAAAACGATTCTTGAGATATCTGCCACTGGTAAACCAGTGGAAATGAGGCAAGAACTTATAAGGCACACAAACAACATCATTTCGAGGATGACAATGGGAAAGAAGAGTACTGGGACAAGTGATGAAGTTGGTCAGTTAAGAAAGTTGATTAGAGAAGTTGGAGAGCTTCTTGGATCGTTTAATCTTGGTGATATCATTGAGTTTATGAGGCCTTTTGATCTGCAAGGATTTGGGAAGAAGAATCAGGATACACATCATAAGGTTGATGTATTGATGGAGAAGGTGCTGAAAGAGCATGAAGAGGCAAGGTCAAAGATGGGTGCTGACAGTGATCGGAAGAAGGATCTTTTTGATATTTTGTTGAACTTGATTGAAGCAGATGGTGCTGATAATAAACTCACTAGAGAAAGTGCCAAAGCCTTTGCTCTGGTATGAACATTTTGACTCCTCATTTTTGCTTGGGCTTGCATTATCATGCTTAAGATTTTTTTTATTTCTCTGTTACATTCATTAACTTACTTTGGCTCTGCCTCTACCTTCCAAACATAAAACAGGCCTAAGTAGTTTCCTGACAACAATATAGCTAACTTCTTTTGATATAAATGTGTGTGAACATTTTTAGAGTCTCTCATATATGATGAAAGATTTGTCTTAAAACAGTAAAATTATAGATTTAAGCATCACAATATATATATATATATATATATATAGAGATTTGTTCAGTAATCCTTCACATATACAAGGTTATCGGTACATCTCAAACAAAAGCGTTTTACCATTAGGAGGGATCAATTACATGGATCAAAATGATACTATTGTTTTTTTGTCATAAATCAAGTCTTCATAAAGGTTATTTAGATCCAAGTCTTTTTTTTTAGTAGTTTCACTTAAGGTCTGTTAGGATGAGAGATTTAGGAAGGAAAGGAAGAAAAGGGAAAGGTATATGGATAACCTCTTACCTTTTGTTGGGTTCCATTTGCAAGGTAGCGCGAATTTGGAGTGTCACATTGGTTGTATGGGTAATTAATGTAGTGTTTATAAGACCTTGAGCACTCTCACCCTTCGAGCTAGCTTTTAAGACGGTGCATCCCAAGGTCTCATCAAATGGTATCAGAGCATCCATCACGTGGAGTGTGAGTGGGGGCATGCACTAGGGAAGCGTGGTGGAAAAATATGAAACTTGTAGTCTCAAATTGATTATATGAGCACAACTAATATGGGATTTATAAGGCTTTGGGCACTTCCACCCTTTAGCTAGTTTTTGGAGTAGTGCATCCCAAGTCTTCTCACCTTTCATTTTCCTTATAATTCTACAACACTCCCTCAAATTTATATGCATTACACAGCATTGGTAAAAATATCAGTGAAATTTACATATCATGATTCTTTGTAACCACCAAGTTGTATATATGCATAAGATTCCATGATGGTTTAAGAACATAATAATCAAGACCAAAGTGGAATTAGCTATTACAATATAAAGTGAATCCTGAATTTGACATTGTTTGATATGTTCCACAGGACATGTTTATTGCCGGGACCAATGGACCAGCAAGTGTGTTAGAATGGTCACTAGCAGAGCTCATAAGAAATCCACATGTTTTTAAGAAGGCAAGAGAAGAGATTGATTCTGTTGTTGGCAAGGAAAGGCTGGTTAGGGAATCAGATATACCAAACTTACCTTATCTCCAAGCAGTGGTTAAAGAAACTCTGAGGATGCACCCACCAACCCCTATATTTGCAAGAGAAGCTATTAGAAGCTGCCAAGTTGAGGGCTATGATATTCCTGCACATTCAAAGATTTTTATCAATGCATGGGCCATTGGAAGGGATCCAAAATACTGGGACAACCCACTAGAGTATAGCCCTGAGAGGTTCTTACACACAGATGAACCTGGCAAGAGTAAAGTTGATGTAAGGGGACAATATTACCAACTCTTACCATTTGGGAGTGGAAGAAGAAGTTGCCCTGGATCTTCACTTGCATTGCTGGTTATCCAAGCAACACTGGCTAGTTTGATCCAATGCTTTGATTGGGTTGTTAATGAAGGAAAGAATAATGACATTGACATGTCAGAGGAAGGACGAGTAACTGTGTTTTTGGCTAAGCCATTGTTTTGCAAACCTGTTCCCCGTTTTGTTCCATTCTCTGCTTGAAGAATATGTGGACTTGGAATGGTGCTGCACTGAAGAATCCAATTAATTTCTTCTCCCTATGTTTTACCTACCATTTACTTTCTTTTTCTTTTTTCTTTTTTAAATTTCACTTTGTGTTTTTTGTTTGGGAAGTGCATCCTGTGTAAACTTATTAGTATGGCAATTTATAAAGAAATAAGTGATCACGTAGTCTAATCCATCTCTATTTTTAACATTCTTATTAAATTCGGACGAGTCATCATCGAGTTGGGTAATTGGTTCAAGGAGTGTGCGTCACCGGTTGAGCATTAAATTGAATTTATGTAATTATAAATAATGAACATATAGATAGAAATAATATAATAACAACAGTGATTTGACTTAGTCAATAGCATTTCAATTCCCTTCCCTCACGGTGGAATATTTTGTCACAATTTTAAAAATTCCTTTCAATCAGAAAGTTGGTACTGAGTTAGCACCGGTTCACTGATTTTTAATTGAATTGCATGCATGGTTAGTTAATTAGTGAACGGGATCAATTAGTGATCCAGTTTCCGATTCAACAACTTCATCCAACCGGATTGGGTCACTTTTAATAAGGCTTATATTTAATGTCACCAAATACCTTACGTGTGCTCTATACTTAAGTTGTACTCTGGTGTCAAATCTGTCTTTATCTTTAACATGACCAAAATAACTTGGTGTGCTCTGCAATTAAGTAGCCGGGTTTGAATATTAGAGAACATTTTCAGTACTATGTCATACTAAGCACTAGGATGGTAATTCAATAAAATTATAAATTATGTATTTTAGGAAATACATAATTATATATTAAAGTTATTTTATTTTTTCTCTCTTCAAAAAATATATTAGTTGATGTGTAATGCTCTCATTAGTAAGATGTATATACGGAGATTATTTATTGTGATCCGAGACTACCATTTTTAGGTGGTCCTTTAGCATAAATGGAAGGGTAAAATTAGAAAAGAGAAAAAATAACAGGAATAAAAAGAAAAAGAAAAAATTAATAATATGAGAAGGAACACTAAATTATTGAGTGGTCCAGGATCATAAAAAATATTTTTGTATATACGGCGATAGCGATAGTATTATAGATTTTTTCAATATATTGAGCTAACACTTGAAAACAAATATTTTCCTAAATTCATCTAGCAGATGTGTAGAGGTAGAACTTGACCAAAAATTTTGAAGGGTTAAAAATGTGTTGAATTTATTCTCCGAAATACACCTGGCAAGAACTAAAAACTAGAGGGACAATTATTTAAATATATTTGAGATTTGATTCCATCTTACAATTAAAATGAAAACAGGGGTAGTTCTAGAATATAAATTTCCTTTCATTATTTACCTAATACATTTATAGTTTTGTTACTGGATGACCCTGCTTTTATAAAATAAATAATTCAAGTTCTGTTTTAATTAGATTGTTAAAAAAAATGGCGTAGCCTTCCATTAAAACCAATTTTGTTAAACTTTACTGGATTAAAAGATTTTAAGAGAAGTAACATATAAGGGGCGTTTAGTAATAGATTGGATAAAATTATAAGTCTATCAACAAATTACAGAGATATTAATGTAGATTTCGTCTCGATGATCACCAAAGACCTTGCAAATGAAACTGGCACCAAATTGACACTGAAATTGCATAAAGCTCTTCCTACTTGCACATTTTCATTCTTGATCATGCATGAAATACTGAAGTTACTAGGATCCTTGACTTTTGATGGCAATCCTTTCCTGATCACATCACTAGTTTCTTTTGTCAAAGCTACGGTTTCCATCTCCTTCAACTTGTACTTGTTTGATAAGAGACCTTTTATGAACTTGGCATATAAAGACATTCTCCAAAGCTTGAGAGAAGAGGATGTTAATTTGTAGCTTTTTAAACATCTCAATAAACTTTGAGTATTGTTGCTTCTCTTTTTCCTGCTTTTTCCTTTAAGGATACAGAGCCTTTGCATATGGAGAAGCTTCCAATGATTGACTGATACTCTTTGGAGGTTTCTTTGAAACATTCTTATCCTAATTGATTCCCCCCCCCCCCCCCCCCCCCAACAAATATAAGTAACATCATCATCCTCCTCTTTAGATTTCTCCTCTTGCTTAGTGTCATCCATGTTTTGGACTTCCTCATCCACCTTGGCTGGCTTCACAAGAGGTTGGATCACCTTTTCACTCTTAGTAGTGATAGCCTTGCAAAACTCTTTAGGATTAACAACAGTATCACTAGGCATTGTCCCTGGAAGTCTCTCATTCAACTGCTTGGCTCGCTGTCTAATCTGAGTTTTGAGATTCCAGAAGGAGGCTTCTTGATTCTTGGTCGATGATTCTTGAGTCTAGAAGTTCGACCTTGTCTCTTCTACAAGAATCTAAAGATTGCATAATTACCCTATGTCTATTCCTAGATCACAAGGATTATGGTGAATTTATTAAATCAGGGTTCATGCACCAATACCCCTATTGTCATACAATTTTCCTAAATCAACCTATAAGGAGCAAACTAGTAGAAAACATTAAAAATAGATAAATTCATTCAATTATAGAAAGAGAAGAATTTAGAAACAATTTAACTCATAATAATAACAATCAAATGGGGTTCATCTGCCCCTAACTACATAAAAAATCTAGCCTAGTATATTGAAATTAATAACAATGGAAAACAAATAAGAATCCCCAAACTCCATTGACGATAGCTTGTTGAATCTTCAAAGTTCCCAACGTCTTTGTGAGTTTCACCGGCTTCCAACGCTCCAAAGCATGAAAACGTGTTTCTCTCTTTCTCGCTTCAGTAATCTCCAATCTCAATTGATCAAAAAGCTCCTTCTTCTGAATGTGCCAGCCCTCTTTATATAGACGAACTTATATCTTTTTATTTTCTTATATGATCTTCAATCAAATCTCAAATCATATCTTTAATTATATGATTTCACAATTTAGGCCTGTCTTGATTCGCAGATGAGCGTCACAACGCTAATTAGAGCATTTTAACGCGCTCAGGCACAATGACTTTCAGGAGGAGAGCGTTTGAACGCTCCACAGCGCGTTGTAACGCTTTCATCGAAGGGAAATTCCTCATGTGGTAGCGTGTTACAACGCTATGCAGAGCGTTAAAACGCGCTAAACCCGAAGCCCCCTCATTTATTTTCCAAATAGACAGAGCGTTGCAACGCTCTCTCCAACATTGTAACACTCTCCTTCATCCTTGAGCTTTGCTCCTTGGGTCCTTTCCATGACCTTTCTGATCTTCTATTCCTTTCTCAAAGTCTTTTCATCATTCTTGCTCAATTCGAGTCAATTTACCTTATAAATCACATAGGAATGAATTATGTTAGACTAAACTCAACTTTGCATACTTTTTCACTATAAACCAAAGTATACATGTCTTAGACTATGCAAATCATGTAATATTAACCCTAAAAATATGATAAACTATAGGTTTATCAATTCCCCATGTAGTTGACTTCAGAAGGTTGAGCCAATGGGCAACTTGCATTTGGATGTCCCTTAACACAGATGTCACACACTACCGGTTCTTCAACATTGATGGAAGGATTTGGTTTTTTGCCACCAGCTTCGTAAAAGACTTTATCTACTTCTGCATGTTCTTCTGAACAGTAATCAAAAGCTCAAAACTTTCCACTTGAAGCACGACCCTTTTTGAAGTGGGTAAATCATCATTCTCCTTAGCAGCCATATCCTTAATGAGCTTCAAAGATGCAGTTGGAGCTTTGGTTATTGAGCCATACTAGCAACCACTTTTTGAAATTTCCGATCAGCAGGCATATACCATGGTAGAAGAGTCTCACTTTATCTCCCGCTTGAAGAGCATATTGTGGACAAGCATTCAATAGACTTTTGAATCTCTTTCATGCAGCACCAAATGACTCGCTGTCAATCTGAGAAAAGTGGTCAATCTCCCTCTTCTTTTGCATAAACTTAGAAATATTGAAGAACTTCTTTCTAAACTTAGCCACAAAATTGTCCTAAGAGGTGATGCTCTTTTCCGGTTCATTCCTTTGCTCTTCTTTTTAGTGCGAAAAGAAAGAGTAGGAGACAAATTGCATCAAGGCTGACCCAATTATGCTAGTGAAGCTGTCATAGATCCAAAAATCCTGACATAAACAGATTATGATCATAGTCACCCTCCATTAAGAATTGATTTCTCTAGAATAATTGTAAGAAGGCGGATGAATCTTAAAACTATTGGCTTGAATTGGTGGAAGGACAATCACAGATGAAACATGGGAATAGGATGGATTGAGGAACTGCTCCAAAATATCCATAAGTGGTGGTTGTTCAGCCATGGTCACTAGTTCTTCACAAATAATTTTGGTCGCCTTTTCCTTTTGCTTATGTTCCTTGGTGAGTTTTATGTTCTTCCTTGCTAGCTTTTCAATCCCCAGATAGTAGAGCAAGTCTTTTGGATCAACTTTATCTCGCATAAACCAAAAATGCAAAGTTGGTAAGGATTAGAATAAACATAGAAAATAAAAATCTAATCTTAAACGCCACAGATGCTACAATCGCTGATTTTAGTCCACAGTAACGATGCCAAAACCTTATTGCGAACAAGACTAGTATATCGATCGTTTCCAAATAATAAAGTGATGAGTGAGGGTTTGGAAGAATAAATAATTCACTATTTTTATATAAGTTAGACGATTCAAAGTTGTTTTGGGAAAAACGATTAAAGAAAGAAAATAAAAATTGAGTTAAAAATCAAGACTAGAACAGGCAGTTAAGGTTTACTTTACCTCTGACTTAACTCAATAAAAAGCTAACCCCATTGTTATCAAAGGATTCATCATCAAAGTGATAATTAGTTAAATCCCCAATGTCTTAGTTATTTAACTCTTTAACCTAATTAGAATCTTAATTGCTTAGAAACCCTTTTTAGATAAGCCTTACGTGTGATGAATTTCACACGTTTGTAATTCCTAAAAATATATATCTAGAACATGCAAGAATTCGTGTTTATCCTATTTCAGATTAAGATCCAA